CCATGTGCTCCAAGAAATGCGCCGTGCCGTTCGTTTTGTCCGTCTCCGCGCGCGAGCCGGCGTCGATCCACACGCCGACCGTGGCGGTCTGGGCGTGGGGCTGCGCCTCGGTGGCGACGGTGAGGCCGTTGGCGAGCGTCGAGACCTCGGTGAAAGGCCCCGGGATGTTGTGCGCTGTCGCAAAGGTCCGTAGGGAGCGCTGTGGGGGTTCTAGGTGAGTTGACTGAGAGTGAGAAAGGAAGGAAGGAAGGCTTACTGGGCTCCGGGCAGACCTGATAACGCGGCTGAGTACCGTTCTAGAGACCATCGTCTTCGTCGTCCACGGTGAGGAGGTGGGTAAGTTTTTTTGTAGGATGATCTGTCGGAATTTCACGGCGCACCCGTATTTCGGATTCTTCCGGATGACTCAGCCGTGTATTAAACCGGTCCGCGAGGCTGCAAGGCCGCGCTACCAGACTCATTACTTATGAGGACAAATCCACACCTAGGGAACAGTCTAGCAAGACACACTAGCAGCTTATTTTTCGCGTTTTGGTATGGATTATCATTAAATAAGAATGTATCATGACTTTCTACGAATGACCCTCTCCGCCAACACCTCGAGCGCACTCTTAGCCTCGCTCTCCGGGAGCTGCTGGAGCACCTCCATTGCTTTGTCCGCATAGCTCTGCGCAAGCTCCCGCGTGCGCTGCAGCGCCGACGAGCGCGCGACATAATCTCGCGCCATCTCGACATCCCCGGGTGCCTCAAATTTACGTTGGATAAGCGCCCCCATGACCGGGTGTTCCTCCCAGGCATACAGCGCCGGGCCCGTCGTGAGTCCGAGCTGGAGGTCAGCGCCCCCAGGCTTGCCGAGGGTCGCCGATGCAGAGTCGTAGTCCAAGATGTCGTCCACCAGCTAGCAGGGTAATCAATACATAATCGTTTGGTATATCAAGCGACGGACCTGGAAAGCAATGCCTAGATTCCTGCCATACGCATACGCTATCTCGCGCCAAATATCGCCCTCCTTGCACCCCCCGAGCGTCACCGCCGCACGCGCGCCCTTGGCCATGAGACTGGCCGTCTTGAGATACGTCTTCTGCAAATAAATATTCCACGCATGCTGTATCCGCACCGCATGCGTCTCCTTGCCCTCCGCCTGCACACCACCAGCGCTCGTCTCCACAGCCTTGGTCTGCAGAATCTCGCCCTCGACGAGGTTCGAGAGGACGCTCGCAATGAGGTCCGTGACCTCTGGGTCGCCGAGACGCGAGAGGGCGCCAGACGCGCGGGCAAGCACGAAATTGCCGCCGAGGATGGAGAGCTTGTTGCCAAAGGCAGCCGGGGCGCTGGGGGAGCCTCTGCGGAGGGCGGACTCGTCGATGACGTCGTCGTGCAGCAGCGAGGCGGTGTGCATCATCTCGACGATCTGGGCGAGCCGGGTCTGTGTCGGGAGTACATACGTCGCGTCGTACAGTGCGGGTGGTGCTGGGGTGGTTGGTGTCGGGCGTTTAGGCGCGGGCGGGCGGTGGGGCGTGAGTGGGCGGAGGGTGAAGGGGGAGTTGAACGGGGCGGTGTTGGTGGGCATGCTTGGGTTCCAGTCGTTGAGGACGTCAGGCCGGGACAGCGGCCAATCGAGCTCCTCTGCCCGCCCGCCTGCGGCTGTGTGTTGCGCCTCCCAGAGTTTTTGTTCCCATTGGCGGCCGAGGCCGTTGGTGGCACGCGCGAAGAGGAGGATGATGATGGGGCGAATCTGCTTGGACGGGTGCAGGAAGTAGTAGCGCGTGATCTCGCTCAGCCGGGGATGGCCAGAGTCGAGGAGGGAGAGCAGGGAGTGGCGCAGGTCCGAGAGCTGGGGTGCGAGGAGAACGAAGGGGTCGGGTCGCGATGAAGGCCCGGAGCGGGTGGTGTAGCGTGTGTGCCTGGGAAGACTATGTATTCTGGGAACACGGGCAAGAAAGGAGGACCATCGTAGCATAGCAGCTTAACCAATCGTTCGTCAGTCAGCATGAGTAAGCCTGGAGTCGAGACACAACTGACCTGGGTTTGTCGGACGCAAACCGTGACTTTCGTGACTGAGCCACATTTGGGTCATTGACAAATATAGATAGACAAGCTTACCGTGACACCGGCGACTGCCTGCACTCAACTGCCCTCCAGCGCTCTACCATGAACTTTTTCAAAACAAAGCCCCGAACACCACCCGATCTCGTTCGTGGCCTCCGCGACGCCATCCCCAAGCTCGAGACCAGCGCACCAGGCAGCGAGACAAGAAGAAAGGTGCCCAAAACCGACTCCCCTCATGACCATCCCACTGATCAACCCCACAGGCCAACGAAGACATCACGAAGAATCTCCAGCAGATCAAGTCCATCCTCTACGGCGATGGCGGTGCGTGACTATCGTCGCAGAGAGCGACCGACCGAGCTAGACCAATCCATCTACATTCCCCGCAGACCCCGCCCCAGAGCTCGTCGCCCAGCTCGCGCAGGAGACCTACCAGACAGACCTCCTCCACCACCTCGTCGTGCACATCGCGCGCTTCGAGTTCGAGGCGCGCAAGGACGTCGTCCAGATTTTCAACAACCTCCTCCGCCGCCAGATCGGCTCGCGCTGGCCGACCGTCGAGTACCTCTCTGCCAAGCACGAGGTCATCTTCGCCGCCCTCTCCGGGTACGAGAACGAGGAGATTGCGCTCAACACCGGCATGATCCTCAAGGAGATGCTCCGCCACGAGCAGCTCGCCAAGATCCTGCTGCATTCGGACCAGTGAGTGCCGCGTTCGTCATCGTCCCATTTCATTTCGGTCCCATTCAATCTTGCACGATGCTATGTAGGTTCTACAACTTTCCGCACTATATCGAGACGACGACGTTCGGGATCTCATGTGATGCGTTTGCAAACCTTAAAGAGACCCTGACACGGCACAAACCCATGGTGGCCGACTACCTAGACAAAAACTACGACCGCGTATGCCCGTCCTCTTCCCCATTCACATCGCATCATCTGATCTCCCCCCTAGTTCTTCTCCTCCTTCACCACCCTAATCCTCTCCAACAACTACGTGACCAAACGGCAGTCCCTCAAGCTGCTCGGCGAGATCCTGCTCGACCGGGCCAACTTCAACGTCATGACGCGGTACATCGCGAACGAGGCGAACCTCAAGATGATGATGAACCTCCTGCGCGAGAAGAGCAAGAACATCCAGTTCGAGGCGTTCCACGTGTTCAAGGTCTTCGTCGCGAACCCGAAGAAGCCGCCCCAGATCGAGTCCATCCTCCGGCGCAACAAGGACAAGCTCCTAGTCTTCCTCAAGGGCTTCCACAACGACAAGGACGGTGCGCGGACCCCCAGATCCAGACGCTTCTACTGACCCTGACCCCTTTCGCAGACGAACAGTTCAGCGACGAGAAGCAGTTCCTTATCGTCCAGATCCAAAGCCTCTGACGCGCCCCAGTGCAGCCATCTGCCCCCCACCCTGCGCCTGCCCCTCCGATCAACGCCCAGGCCTTGCACTTGCACGCACGTCCGTCCGAGGCGCCTGGGCCGGCCATTCCATCTCCACACGCACACCTCCCCTGTCCCACCCCCTGCACCCCCTGTCATCATAGCCATAGCCATAGCCCTAGCCATATTCCCCGCCCCCGCTCATCCATGACGCTCATCCCATCCATCCCATCTATTTATGATACCAGCGTGTTCGTGTTCTCACACTTTGGCACAGTGCACACGCACCCATCCATACCTAGCACTACCAGCAGGTTAGCAGTGTATGTCTATATGATCCTTGCGTTTGCGCGGGTTAGTGTACTATACAGTTACTTGTACTATCCACTACTTATCCCCGGACATGCTACTCGGAGTCGCGCGGTACCGGGTACCGGTGTCTCTCGTTGAGAGCCACCAGCCTTCGTGGACGTTGTATGAACATCATCTAGTGTATGCAACTTGATTACCCTGCAGAGGTGATTTCTCCGTCGACGTCAATGGCCCGCGCGCAATAGAGCCCCAGTTAAAATCAAATGGCATAAGTAGTCAGAAGTGCGCGCGCGCTCAAGTCATTCTCAGCACCGTATTACCACGCACACCTCTGAATCACAACCACGGCCTAACATGCATACCGCACCGTAGCATAACTTGAAGTTAATGATAGTGACTTCTCCCTAGCTAGCCCCTAGTCATACCCCTAGCGGATGCAAGCCACCAAATGGGTCGATGGCGTAGTTGGTAATCGCAATTGAAATCTGGTTTTTCATTGGTCCCCAGTTCGAACCTGGGTCGACTCCTGTTTTTCTTCAAAGACCTTGGACTGAGACATTCAAATTTCAATCGACATCTTGCGTCCGAGTCAGTCTCGAGCACCCAGAAAGACGTGTCATAGGACTGGCAGATGCATATCATAGCAAGGGTCGATGGCGTAGTTGGTAATCGCAATGAATAACCCAAATTTCGTTGGTCCCCAGTTCGAACCTGGGTCGACTCTTATATTTTGCAGCTTTTTGTCTTCGCGCCCACCCATAAAGATGTGTCATGACAGTACCGTAGGCCTACCACAATAAGGGTCGATGGCGTAGTTGGTAATCGCAATGAATAACCCAAATTTCGTTGGTCCCCAGTTCGAACCTGGGTCGACTCCTGTTTTGCAACTTTCTTGTCTTCGCAGCGCCGCACCTGCCCGTCCACAGGAAACAAAGCACTTTATTTCGTCTCGATTTATGATGAAAAAAATCTTTGTTTCACAATTATCTTTCAATAAGTCGAGTTTTTTAGATTATTTTTATCATAATTCGCCTGAAAACAGAGGCATGTTTCCGCACTCCGTCTGCGGGACACACTTCCCGCCGCATAGTAACAAGGGTCGATGGCGTAGCTGGTTATCGCATCTGTCTAACACATCTAATCGCGCGGCATGTTTCACAGAAGGTCGAACCTGGGCCGACTCATTTGTTTCGTGGTTTTTTGTCTTCGGAGCGCCACACCCACTCGTCTGCGCAACACACTTCCCGACGCGTCATCACGGGTCGATGGCGTAGTTGGTTATCGCGTCTGTCTCACATGAATGTGCACAGGAGGTCCTCAGTTCGAGCCTGGGTCGACTCATAAAATCTCTTTACGATGCGTTTTTTTTCTTTAGGTCGCTTATGGGAACGTTGCATCGCGACCTTCTCAGACTCTCACTCAAGCTGAAAAACAATGGTTACGTAATAATAGGTACTACCAAGCTCCCTTTCAGCGCCACAGGAGGTGTACGCAATTGGGGAGTGCTGAAACATCGGGTCGGTGGCGTAGTTGGTTATCGCATCTGTCTTACATTTGTATGAACGGTCATCTCCACAGAAGGTCCTCAGTTCGAACCTGGGTCGACTCATTTTTAGACCCAAGAGATCACCAATAGACTTCTTATTCGTACATCTTTGGAACACTTCAAGTTTTCTTCCTCATATTATCTGACTTCATCGACACATGAAAAATTTTATTTCTCAACTATGTATTTTATGGATATTGATACATCTTATTTCCTCAGTTTCTCCCATCCCGGGTTGTCCACGACTATGCCTGTCACGCCGCCCTCGTAGGCCGGCCCGGCTACGATCCTCAAGCTCGGTATCTTGAGGTCTTCGGGCTTGCTCCCAAGACTCCACAGACTAACGGCAACGACATTTTGACCCGAGTAGTTGAGGATGCCCTCCTGTACGACAAACGAGGTTTGTGGTCCGAGGTTCGCGATGCGCTTGCCGAGTTGCCAGCCGTTGACGTAGAGTTGCGCTTCGAGGAGGAGAGCAAGGGTCAGTGACAAAGTGAGTCAAACGAGAGAGAGGTATTTACCGCGATATTGCCCGGGCTGGGAGTCGAATACTATCGAGAGAGGAACATCGTATCCCTTGGGAAGGTTAAGTGTGAATGTCGTGCGGAAGAACCCAACCTGAATAGATATGAGTGGGGAACTGGAGGGATATGTGAAGTAGACCTACGCCGGGTTTACTGATTCCCTGGAACGGTGTGCGCGTCTCCCAGGCCGAGTCGTCGAAATTCGGGAGGTGCCATCCTTTACGCTATCCACCATATTTCAGTCAATGACCAAGATAACCGAAGCGGTCGAAAATCTACCTCTGCATAGAGACCTCCTAATTACCACATTAAATCGTTAAAATGTTCACGAATATGATGCGATGTCGCAGACGAACCTTCATTCAAGATCTTGCGTGTCTTATCGGGAAAGCTTTCGCCGCCAAAGTTTCCTCCAAGCTTCCACTTGGTGAATTGAGCATTCGCCGGACGTCCCACTAGGTAGTATCCCTATTAGTTTGAGACACGGTTAATATCCATTCGAGATTTAAGAAGATATGATAGTTATACCTGCACGCCTCGTGGTTGCTGTAAATCCCGCTGGCGACCGCCAGGGTTGCAACACACGATCTGACCAGCAAGATCGCCACCCATGTGGCTGAAGAAAGCAGCTATCAGCCTGACAGGAATGATACTTTTGTGCGGCTCAAGCCACTTACTCTTGCAGCACTGTAACGTAGTTTTTCCCCGCACGAAGCATATCGGTAGTGACGGGCAAAGTTTCGTTCTGAGTTGCCTGACGGCGATCAAAAGGCCCCAGATAATAGTCGTTGAGCCATGCCGAGGCCGCAAAATTCCACCCGCCACTGACGCTGAGGTTAACGGCGGTAGGGGGCTTGAGCGACGGGTTGTGCTCGAAAGTGCCGCGCCAGACGAGATTTCCCGCCTACACAATAGTTAAATCAAAGGGGAAGAAAGAAGGAAATAAAAACGCACGTGGTGGCCATAGTCGTCGGCGTAGAGGATCCAAGGACCACCATAGTACGGGGCGAATGTACTTGTAGTGCTGGTATGGTTTGCATCTATGAGCGAGCTCTCGTCGAAGTTTGCCTGAAGCTCCGGGAGTGAGTCCGCGTACTTCCAAGTGGCAGTCATCAAATCTGGAACAGTCACACGGGGGATGGAGGCTGTAAGCTGCGCCTCCCATGCACCGGTGCTCGTCCTCTTCAAGGCACCAACAGCCTTTCCATTCCAAGTAATGGAATCAAGTGTGCTCGGGCCGAAGACAGTGAGTGTCGCCGTGGCTGCGAGGTCGCCCTTCAAAGCCAGCTTGTTGCCCGAGAGCGCTGCGCTGCGCACAAGGTAGGGACCAGAGATAAGCAAGGGCGCCGATGCACCGATGTCAATGAAGTCAGCAAAATCCCCAGTACCCGAAATCGTGGGCATCCAGAAGTTCGTCGCTGTTGCGTAGTCGGCGATGATAAGGACCACCGTCTTCTGACCGGTCGCGATCTTGACGGTAGTAACGCCTTGCGTCACCTTGAAGTTCAGGAAATAGGCACTATCGCTCTGTAATTTCGTAAGCTTTATGTGCCGTTTCAAATATTCAAATATCACCTTTGAATATTTAGCAGTAATTTTGACGGGACCGGATGCAGAAAGAGTAGGCTCCACGTCAAGCAGAAGGGCTACTTCGTATGTCAGCCCTGTGGTTCCGTACACAATCAGTGCGTCGTTTCCGTCGAATTTGAATGTCGATAGAAGCATTGCAGTCGAATACAAAAGCTTCCAGGATTGAGAGCCGAATGACAGGTCAGTGCTATACGCAAGTATGTTAGTTTGCATGTCAAGGAATAGTATTTGCCATATTACCTGATAATTACGGAATCTCGGCCAAGTAGCGTCGCACTGCCACCCAACTGGGGGACAGCGAGGTTGCGGGAGCTCACATTCAATTTGAAGGATACAACGGCGCTGTGCACAAAATTAGAGAGAAAAAGACGTTGAACGTTTTCTGGAATACATACGGATCATCAGACTTCGTGTGTCGAAGGATATGGAAAGATGCTCCTGTCTCCGGATTTTGTAGACGGGTAATCGACACCCCCGGGATAGTCGTGTTATCCTCTCCTGTTATAAGTATGAGCCGTCAGATGTATATATGGACTGCTAAAAATGTTACCTTTCAATTTCGTTACCCTTATATCGGAAAAGGTTCGTACAAAGAATGACTGCAACTTAAGCTCCCCATATTTAGCAGATAGTTCTCTTGTTTCTGCGACCGGAGCACCATAATCCTGAAATACCGTTAGGATAGGGTATTTAGATGAATCGAAGCTGAAGGGATTTACATATGACGTGTAGGCACCTTTTGCAAGAAGTTAGCGGGAAAGGGAAATGAATCAAGGTGACAAGCCTACTTGGATGCGGAAGTTGCCCCCACGTCGTGCCACCCTAAAACCAAATGTTAATTCTTTGAAGGGTTATTCTTTTGAGATATACTACTAACGAAGAACATGTAATAGTTGACCTTGAAAAGTGTGAGAGTAATCATAGGAAGTGGGGAAGACACCTCTTACCGCTGTGACGCCGTGGGCCAAGAGATGGAAGTTGTAAACGCGCTGGTAACTGAAAAAACAATAAGACCGACGAATCGAGTTGGTAGCATAATTCAAACTCACTTCGGCCCTGTCAACTCTCGAATAGTAGAGTAACCCGCAGTCGAGCCCCAATCGTCATATAAACCAGCCTCAAACCTAATCCCCTGGATCAGTAGTACTCCATCATTATTGAAAGACATTCTCACTCTGGGAACATGAAAGGAATGTCCGGTCTAACGGATTCCCGGTATGTTCTCCAAGCCGTCGGAATATCACCCCAGGAACCGGGTTTGGAAGAATCAACACCTAAATGAGAATTCCAGCCACCTGAAAGTTATTGCGAAGGCAAAGAGTCTCACCAACTGGATAAGAGTCAAAGCCATAGATGTCGGCAGCGTAAAGCAGGTTCCAGAACATCCCGGGGTCATTAACCATAGTAGGCACAACCTATGACACAGTGAGACTGGAAGTTTTCGCGTATGTTTCCTCTACGCACAATCCCTAGAGCGAGAGCCCTCTGACGAAGTTCTTCGACATATTCATTTTGACCCGCTAAATTTTCAATGAGTTTTGCAATAGTACATAATAACTGTATGATACGTGTGTACTAACCTCCATTGTAGAACTCGTTTTCCAGCTGCAGCATAATCACAGGACCCCCATTCGTGATCTGATTCTTTGCAATGACAGGTATAACTGCATTCCACTACAATTCCAAGTAAGTTAGCATTTTTTAGAGTAGGTGAAGGCGCACATAATCCTGCCAGGCATCGTGAAAATAAGTATCATTGCTTCGCATTTCCCCATTGTAGCGATTCCAAAAAGGATCTCCGGGAATCGTCTTGACGTGCCCTGGTATACCTCCTGTAGTAGTTTCGGCACTGTGGTGCTTTAATGTATGTTCTTTCTGGTAAACTGAGGAACTCACTTTATGTATGGGCCTGGTCTGGCGATAACCCATAGCCCAGCTTCCTTCGCAGCATCAAAAAACGGCTGTAAAGCATTGATACCGCTCATATCGATGACACCTTGTTTCGGGTTGATCAAGTGCCAGTGGATGTAAATCGAAAGCGCATTGAGCCCGGCAGCTTTGGCCTTCTGGGTGATATCTTTCCAAAGTCCAGGGACGGGCAGCCTCCAGGTGTGAAATTCTCCTGATTGCAAGAAGACCCTCTTCCCTTTGATAAAGAAAGAATAACCATCCCATCCTATGGCGTCGGTCAGTCCTGTGGTGGTGACATTCGGATAGGGATTTGCAGCGGCACGGGAAGCGAGCTGAGAGTTAGCGCTGACACCGATGGTACTGGTGATTCCCAGGACCGCAAAGGCCGCGAACCTCGCCGCCTTCCAGAAGTACATTCAGGCAGCAAATGATTGTAAGGGTATGAGTATGTCGCATGAAAGACTTTATATTAATCCATCTGACCGAGCTATGAGCGACCGGGAGATATGCGGGAAGTATACGGAGAAATATTCGCAACGAAGCAGACGAAGCATAGAGAGACGAGCTCGAGGTGGCGGCCGTCTCTAGCACTGATGAGTTCCGCAAAATATCATGTGTACTGTACCCAAGAAGATGCATCAAGATTCAGAATGAAGTACATAACATGTGGATGAAGACCCAAGAGCTAGCAGGGTTACACTGCGTTGGTCAACTTAGTGGTGGTCATTGTTAAATTTGTTCCTGAAGCCTGAGTCATAATTCGAGCGGTTCTTGGACGAAGTGCATGTGCCTGGAGGAAGGTGAATATTTTGTCACGTGTGGGGTCCGCGATACTCGAGCCTTGACAATGACATCGAGGTCAATGGTAAAGAAGATCATCAGAGTTCCCGACCAGGACGGGCCGGACCGTCCATATTCGGACCTAACCCTTCGAGTTTCTGATTTTCTTCAAGTTCTACCGCCTATATTTAAATGTTAGCAAAGTAGTGCGTTGTTGGAGTCATATTCTGCTTCACGAGGGTATATTTGGCATATCCA